GAACGCTCGCACGCACCGTGGTGGTGCACCATCGTGGACAGCTCGTCGAGATGAGTCGATTGCCGCATCGCCGACCATCCGCAGACTAAAAATGACTGCATCGCGGACATTATGCGAGAGCCGGGGTTCTATGGTACCCCGGGGTACCGTCATAAGTTTCAGTTGGTGATGAACCAAAATGGCCACCTTTTAAGTTGACTTTGATTCTTAAATCCACAATGGTCATTCCTAAGTTAAGAATGGTCGCTATAGCTCCGTATCAAACTGTTGTAACTGGTAGAACTCTTGCTCTGTGCCCTGCAACACCTTGCCGTATACTTGCACAAATACGCCACAGAACCCTGTGGTCAATGTTAGTAGACCCTGGTTGCAAGCACTGGAGTTAATGAAGCCTGTTTTGTGCCACGCTTATTGTATGTCCGTGTTTAAAATGCAAGCACCGATTTATATTTTGTAGGCTTGTGTGTGTGTTGGCTGGCTAGCCAGCCAACAACATGCATTCATACTGAGTGTTGTATTCAGTAAATTAGTAAAAAGCCGTTTGCCTGTCTCAGCTGCAGCTCACTATTGATTATTGCTTCCCTCTCCCATTCCCCTTGTTAGATATCACTTAAATTGCAAAGGAGTGAATTGAACTTTACCACAATTAGCCAACTGAGTCCGTTTGGGCTTTCAGGAGGGCATACGTCACATGCGGCCAATAAACGTAATTGAATGATGGATAGTTTTTTTACACCAATCACATATAATCTATGGGCAATGCCTGACTTGGGCACTGTGAAAAATCTGGGTTGACTCATTTGGCTGATCATGGTAGCGTTACGGTAATTCACGGGGATGTGTGATTCTTTTATTAATTAATTTGTAGACTATCTCGGGTTTTTTCTCCCACGGTGAAGCAGCCTGGCCTGTCCTGTTTCATTAAGGGATCATAATACAACCGCATTACACGCTGTTGTTTTGCATTTCATTCATTTCTTTTTTTTAATCCTACCTCGCAATGCTTATATCATCACACGGCGGTTTACCCGATAAAGGATCGTGCTACACACAAAAGGCCATGGGTCCATCTGTGTTAGCCTTCCGAGCCTGGGAATACCGTGTCATGTTACGTTACATCACGTTACGCTGTCATGCCATGTCTTGCCACGTCTTGTTACATGGCATTGTGTTGACATCACATAGAGTCCACCGTAACAGCTCTGTTGAATGTTTCCTCAATGCATGGCTGGGAAACGGAACACACGATGCTTTCAAGTGCGCATTTCAAACTTCAGTCATTCCTTGTGGTCCCCTTTCTATTCAATGTCAAATAGAGGAAGTACATTGTCGCGGGCAATGAAATATGTTAATTGTACATGGCCTCCTGATGTAAACTTACTAAGGATTTCATTTTTTAAAAAGCACAAACGAGGTTATTTTGGGTTTTGGTCAAACACGGTACATTGATGTTAAAGTGTGTTGCATTTACAGTTGCATTCTATTCTTGCGTATGATGGTAATATGTCTAGGAGCTAAAGGCCAATGTTTAGGTCTGCTGGCCACGACGAGAGGGCTTCAGGAGAGAGCTGCTGTATATTTGCTATGCCTCCTCTGTTGAAGGAATGCAGGGCTACGGTGGTTTACTGAGTCGTCCATAGTTTGATTGGGTTGCTGGACCACAATCGAACTGCTGTCACTTGACTTTAGTTTTCCATTAATGTTTGAGATGTGTGCATCGGCCTGTTGAAGACACCAGCGGTGTCTTCGAGGAGGAATGTCAAAGGCAGGAGGAGGTCTCGAATGAGGTGTCTTGCAGTTGTGAATTAACTGGAACAAAGCTTGAAATACAACTTCCTTTTAAAACGTCATTAATAGTAGATTGCATGTTCATTAGCTTGCGCGTAAAATTGTAGGTAATTAAGTACCGGAATTGGTTTAACACCTATCGGCAAAACCCTTCTCAAGCAATAAAATATCGAGACTCATGGACGTACTTATTACTATTTTTGTTGTTGTTGTTGTTATTTGCACGGGTTGTGTGCAAGAAAGGCCTGTCTCACCTTTTTCATAAGAAAAGTAGACAGTTCAGGCTCATTTCATTTCATTCCTCTACCCACAAGGGAGCAGAAGCTGCAGATGAAACACATCCCTTTAGGGAACGAGGGGGGGTGGGGGGGGTGTGTGCCTATTGATATTTTCTCACCATACAATGTCAGGATGGAAGACGCTCGGCTAGAACTGGTGGATCATGGACTCTGCAAGTTAAGAACCTTGTCACAGCGCCAACCAACCTTAATGAATGTGTCAGGGGTAGAATTGCCACTTCTTGTCAATGCATCGGTTCTTTCCTTACAATCCATCTTCACCAGTTGCTGCACGGTGTTCCCAGGCAGGAGGGGCACAGGTAACTTTGCACCTCAGTCCCGCCGGTAGAAATATATTGGGGGCAGCACATGACTTGAGTAGTTTTTCTCGGCTTATAAATACGGCGCGACACTGCAGAGCGTCCTACGACGGGGAAAGTGTGCGGCACGTTCATCCGTTTCTCAGAAAGATTCGTGTTAAAAAAAATAAAATTGAATGAAAAGTCCCAGCGTTGCAGTGTAAGAACATAAGAATTTCAAATCGAGATAAGGCAGCAATTCAACCTTATCTGCCTCGCCTCGTAATTAAATCCTGTCTCACCGCCGCACCATTTCTTTTCTCTCACTCAGTCTCAGCGGTGGTGAATTGTGGTTTTTTTTATGTATTGCAAATGATATTTATTCCGGGACGCACAGCCGAGATCCAACATCTGATTTACAGTGTGGCCGTAGGGATGGTGGAAATGAATTCGTGTTGCCCACATGCGGCTCTTTCGCACCGCAGAGACACCCAGGGTCTGGTTGACTTGGCTCGCGCCTGTTCCGTCTGCTGGCTAAGTGTCCTCATGCCCCGAGATCGTGCCCGTGCGGTATACCTATGCAACTAGGTGAAATTGTATCGACAAGGTGGTGCCCGGGCATAGCGGACGTGCTTTTATATTGCCCCCTCCCGCTCCATATTCCCCAGCACTATTACAGCCAATATTAGAATTCTCTTCACCTCCAAGGGAGAACAATTACTGTACTCCGATTGCTGTTATGCATGTGTGTGTTTGTGGTGCGCCTATGTGTGAATGCATATATTGCTTCATGCACGTGTGGAAGGTATGTTCTGTATATGTAATACATTTTTAAGCTATGTGTCGTGTTTTTCTGTGTGTGTGCAGTAAATGTGTTTGAGTTTGTATATATGTGTGCGTGTGTACGACGAGTGTCATCGATTCAGCCAGGCTCAATCCACTGCTGGGTGTAGGCCTCCCCGATTCTCCGTAGTCTATCGTGATACTGCGATTTAATAATCCACCTCGTGTCTGCACACCAGCTCGGTTAATCTCTCCCATCTCCTCGGTTGATGTCCTCAATAAATATATCTGTGTATCTGTGTTGCTTTGTTCGCTATGATGTGGTGAGTTTTTTTTTCTTTCAAACCGAGCATAGACGGTTCTCCCTCCGTAAAAATGTAGTTTTTTCTAAAAGGTTCTAAAGCAACATGCATACAGGTGAACTAACCAATGTGAAATCTGATCTGCTTTGGCTAAGACAGGAATTTGACTTCCAGCTATAGCAGGAAGTGTTAATTTTTTTGGAGAACGATTGTGCCCGCATGCTATGACGTACAGACATATGGATCATGGAGCAAAAACTGAAAAGTTGGCAAAAAAAATCATGGGGACATGCACGCAAGGAATTGTATAGAGGGATAAAAAGAGTAATGGATGGATTGTAGAGCGTGTGCGGGTTGACGACAAGATTCAAACAGCACAGTTGGTGGGCTTGGGCAGGACACATCACGGCTCGAAGGGATGATGGCTGTTGATCAAGAAAAATGATGGAGTGGCAGGCAACGAATGGAATGCATCCGAGTGCGTCCACCTGGGGGATGGAGCTGTGAAATCAGCTCATATACAGGTGCTGGGTGGATTATTACATCATAGGATCATGAGAGTGGGTGATGGCTTGGGGGAGGCCTTCATCCATCAGTGAATTGATCATGAGTGATAATAATACTGATGAAATATGTACTTACAAAGTTTTATCCTTTGTATTTATATTTAACCCAAGACGTTGAATGTTCGTGAGAGACTGTGCGCACGACCAGGTTGATGCTGGCAAACGAGTTCCACTTGAAAATCCGGTGTAACCACGGGCCACTGGAACCCGGATTAAAACCCAGGAAATCTCATTGCGCGGCGAGGGCCTCAATAAATAATAATTTTAACTTGTGACGGGCCTCTCAGTATTTGCTGGCTCTTGAAGAGAGAGTAGCTCGGAGCCGTGATGAGCACCCGCAGCCAGCGTACAATTCCCCCATGCGGATCTGTGGTCCTCTATATGTTAAAATGATATCGGGCAATTAATGAGTGTTTATCTTCTTTGGTTCTTTCGGTAAAGTCACGTAGAATGAGAATAAAATAATAAATTGATAAAATAAAATAACACAATAAAATTCTCACGACGTTTCGGCCACAACACAAGCGGCCTTCATCAGGTGAAGGGACGAGACTGTCTGGGGGACAGCGCTGGAGCGAACACAGCCAAGCTCAGACCGCGACCTTTAAGCGTCGTGAAACGTCATGATAATTTTATTGTGTTATTTTATTTTATCAATTTATTATTTTATTCTCATTCTACGTGACTTTACCGGAAGAACCAAAGAAGATGAATCCTTGCAGTCACGAAAGCTTTAAATCGAAATTTAATGAGTGTTTATTCATTGGGGGAAACCGGTGTACCCGGAGAAATCCTACGCGTGCGAGGGGGCAACACCCTATCCCACACAGACACAACAGTTGGTAGCCCACGTTTGCCCGAACCGCCGAAGGGAAGGAAGTTTCAGAGCAACGTGTGCGATCCACCAACCCTCGTCTCGTCGCTCTGACACCTCTGCCCCCCCACCACCCCCCCCCCCCCACCCGCTCGCTCGCCCTTCTGCAGAGGATCCGGACAGAGCTGGACGGCGTGGAGGACGCCATGCTGGGCGTGCGGGAGAGGCAGCCGGCCATGCTGAGGGCTGCGTCGGCGGCCGATGTGCCTCGCATCGGGGCGAGCCTGACCCGCCTCGACACGGAGCGCTCGCGCGTCAACCAGGCCTACGACACGCGCAAGCGGTACGTTGCGCGCGTGTGCGTGCGTGCAAGCGGCACGTGACGCGCAAGCGGTGCGCGAAGCGCCCGCTCGGGGGGGCACGTGCGCACCGGCGGGCGGGGTCAACAGGGTTCACGCACGTGCACATGTGTGCGCGTGTCCGCATTTTATGAATGTCTTGTGGCAATAATTGTCAGGTGGGACAATGTTTCACTTTGTCAATATGTATACCGATTATTTTCATACCACGACGCACGCGTTGAATGGCACGTGTACGAATCAATCGTGTGTTTTTTTGTATCAGTTTACGTCATCCCTGCAGCAACTAGGGGTGCTACCATTAAATGCATTTGTTAAAAGGAAAGGGATTATTAAATCGCATCGTGACCCTGAATTGGGATGATTTATTGAATCATTGCCGATCTGATCATCTTTGTTCTTTCAGTCATCGTCACTTTTACTGGTAGAGGAGGGGGATCATCATAATCAGAATCAGAGTCATTTATCTGATCTGGTGTTAATGTTCGAGGAGCATTTGACTCGCACTTAGAAGCTTGTGAAATAGTGGTCCATCAGGGGGTTCACTTGGTGTGATATCCACCAGTCTTATTGAAATCTGCTTCACAGCATTGGGAATGTGCAATGTCCACCGCTGGCTCAGGATTTCCAACGGTGCTACCCAGTACTGATTTCTGCCAATATTCTCTCAAGTCAACATTTTATTTATTTTCTCTCAAACTGCAAAGCTGCACAGCAACTTGTCTGTGACACTGTGCCGTGATAGCCGAGCGCTGGCAAAAACTGTGCGAACATAGAAAGTGTACCGATGGCTCTAACACGGAGGTGTTTTTGCCACGTCACCGGGACGTGAATCGGCGCCCGCAACTTTAGACGTTGTTGGTCAACGTAAACTTCTCATGTGCCGTCGTCAAAAACCGCCACCATCACTTCCCCCCCCCCCCCCCCCCCGGCCTTACAAAAACGCTCAGGGCCGCACACAAAAGACGAAGAAAAAGATCCCCCGCACAGTCTTCAATAGACTGTTGGGGCAAATGCCGTTTGCGAGTAGCACCGATGAAGGCCGGCAAAGTACGTGAGGGCGCTGGGTGGCCAGCACACACACACACACGTGTGCCCACCCCCCTCCCCCCCCCCCCCCCCAGCGGAGATGCACCATGGGCACGCGGGCACGCCGGCGTTTGTTTTAATTTGTGCCCTCCCCGTGTGCCTCCTCTCTCTCTATGCAGGCGCTTCGAAGACGCCACGGAACGCTGGCAGCAGCTGCACCGCGACATGGTGTCCACGGTGCAGTGGCTCAACGGAGCGGAGCAGATCGTCGGCGAGGTGCAGAGGACTGACGTGGAGCCAGCGTCCGCCGTGGCTCACCTGAAGGCAAGTCTCTCGCGCTCCCGTTTATTTAAAGGTTTAAAACTAAAAAAATCAGCGGTATTCGTTATTGGCAAGATATCCTTTGCGCGTGTGCGCGTGTATAAGCGTGTACGTGCGTGTGAGCGTGTTTGCTTTGAGCCGTGAACGTGTTCGTTGCTGTGAAGACCTCTGGAGCTGTGTGGCTGCAGGTGAGCAGATAGGCTGACTTTAGCCCCTTTTACAATTGGCCAAGCCAAATGTCAGTATTGCTTACACACTGTGTGCTCCAATCAGTTTGAGTGTTATCTTTGTGCCTGTGTACGTTTGGCGCCTTGTAAGGGAGCTTGCTGCGCACCAAACGAACGTGTGTCGCGTTGATAAATACGATGGGGGCGGCCGGAGAACATCAGAGTGAATCGCGCGTTTTAGCAGAGTTGCCAGGCTTGGCTGCAAAAAAAATTTCCGCCGCATTTCAAGGTGCTTTACACGGGCACAACTTTACATAGCGCCTGTTTACGACACTCATCCCGTAATGTTGTTACTGCAATACATCCAAGCGCGATCGATTTGAAGAATCTCGCCAGTGCTGGCGAACAAGTGAGAAATGATCGACGTCCATAACACGGAGAGGGGGCTTCCTCTTGTGTTGCGTTTTTTATTTCTTTCGCCTCGTTGATTGGTCTAGCATCGCTCAGGCGTTTCCATTGTGCGCGATTTAGTTGCCCTCAACTGTTGAGAGCGAGCGCGGTGGCTTGTGCGGTCGAAACAGTGGTGAAATCTGTCGGCGTGTTTCCTCGGCTGAAAATGGAGGGGCACTCTCTTGATTTCAGATGCCCCAGGGTTTGTTCACGGGAGAATTGATCACCATTGATGGGGGGGGGGGGGGGGGGGGGGGCGGGGGGCACGTGGGAGGTTGGGGTGAAGTGTTCGTAACAATACAATGTCAGTCTGTGCCGAGCCAAAGTCTGCACAGCGCCTTGAACTTGTGGTAACTTAAGATTGCGATGGGGGGGGGTGAGGTGGTTTCACCCTTCAAGGGACACTCACAGCACATTGGCAGTGATGAAAGAACTCGAAACATGAAAAGAAGAATAATCGGCAAAGATCGGTCTTTGTCTAGCGCACGTCCATAAGTGGTCTTAAAAAGACCAATTGGGAGCCTCAATGGAAGCAAATGACTCATAAGTAGAGGGACTGATGGAGCATGTACGAGCAAACGCACAGAGAGCAGACTATGGCTACATTTGTGCCGTACTTTGAGGAGCGGTTTACTGCATCGGATTGTTTGGTAACTCACTGTAACGGTCACCGTAATCTATCTGCTGCATTGTTGAAAGCTCCACGCGGAATACTTTTTTCAACAGCTACTGCTGCCCAACAAAAGCTGAAGCAAGGGGTGAGTAGGTTGTAAAAGTGGAAACCTAAAATTGCTTGCTCAAGCCACTGCTGGGGCGGGAAAGGGTCTCCAATAGAGGGAGCTAAAGGGAGGGTATTTGGCCTCGTCTTCCACGCTTACGCAATGTCGTGTAAGAGGTGGGGGCAGCCACACTATATCGCACCACACACGTCCTGCCGATTGACTAACTTCGGTGTATCCCATTTGTACTGCTCAGTGGACAGAGGGGGGTGAGAATTAAGATACTTTTACCACGGTTTACAATTGCTGCGCCCAGAGATTGAATCGAATCGGCGACAACTTGACGGCAGGTCCTGCGTGCGTGCTAACCATCAGACCGCAGCAGCAGCGTCGCTACGGTTCACAACGAGGTGGGAAGGTGACGAACCTCTCCATCTCATATATTCTCGGTTTGTGAGAGCTCGGGACGACTGGATCAATTTCTACTGAGTCCAATGCTGTTTCATCGTCTACAAAGTGTGGGCACAATGGTAATAGAAATTCACTGCTCTTATCCAGAATCTGATTCACAGTGCGTGTGTGTTTGTGTGTAGGTAGTTACGTGGTGTACGGTCGAAATATATTTATTGAACGCTGCTTGCTCACCAACCAAAAACTACATTCCCTGGGCACGTCACCCATCCTTATTTTCAAGCGTAGCATTTCTGGCCCACAGCTGATGCCAAAAGCAATGCCTGAGAAGTTGTCTGGCCGTGAGAAGCCATTTGCACGAGAGATATGAAGGCCATCTGCCCACGCTAATACTGAAGATGTAGAGCCTGCTGAGTGTCAACGCAAGTGAGTTACTGTGAGGTCCAGAGAGGGTGGTGGAGTGTGTGTGTGAGTTACTGTGAGATCTACACAGAGTGGTGAAGTGTGTGTGTGAGTTACTGTGAGATCCACACAGAGTGGTGGAGTGTGTGTGTGTGAGTTACTGTGAGGTCCAGAGAGGGTGGTGGAGTGTGTGTGTGTGTGAGTTACTGTGAGATCTACACAGAGTGGTGGAGTGTGTGTGTGTGAGTTACTGTGAGATCTACACAGAGTGGTGGAGTGTGTGTGTGTGTGAGTTACTGTGAGATCTACACAGAGTGGTGGAGTGTGTGTGTGTGAGTTACTGTGAGATCTACACAGAGTGGTGGAGTGTGTGTTACTGTGAGGTACACACAGAGTGGCGGAGTGTGTGTGTTACTGTGAGATCCACACAGGGTGATGGAGTGTGTGTGAGTTACTGTGAGATCTACACAAGAGTGGTGGAGTGTGTGTGTGTGAGTTACTGTGAGGTACACACAGAGTGGTGAAGTGTGTGTGTGTGAGTTACTGTGAGATCCACACAGAGTGGTGGAGTGTGTGTGTGAGTTACTGTGAGAGCCACACAGAGTGGTGGAGTGTGTGTGAGTTACTGTGAGATCCACACAGAGTGGTGGAGTGTGTGAGTTACTGTGAGATCTACACAGAGTGGTGGAGTGTGTGTGTGTGTTACTGTGAGATCCACACAGAGTGGTGGAGTGTGTGTGTGTGAGTTACTGTGAGATCTACACAGAGTGATGGAGTGTGTGTGTGTGTGAGTTACTGTGAGATCTACACAGGGTGGTGGAGTTTGTGTGTGTGTGTTACTGTGAGGTCCACACAGGGTAGTGGAGTGTGTGTGTGCGTTACTGTGAGATCTACACAGAGTGGTGGAGTGTGTGTGAGTTACTGTGAGGTACACACAGAGTGATCGAGTGTGTGTGTGTTACTGTGAGGTACACACAGAGTGGTGGAGTGTGTGTGTGTTACTGTGAGATCCACACAGAGTGGTGGAGTGTGTGTGTGTGTTACTGTGAGATCTACACAGGGTAGTGGAGTGTGTGTGTTACTGTGAGGTACACATAGAGTGATGGAGTGTGTGTGTGTGTGTTACTGTGAGATCTACACAGGGTAGTGGAGTGTGTGTGTTACTGTGAGGTACACACAGAGTGGTGGAGTGTGTGTGTTACTGTGAAATCCACAGAGTGGTGGAGTGTGTGTGTGTGAGTTACTGTGAGATCCACACAGGATAGTGGAGTGTGTGTGTGTGTTACTGTGAGGTACACACAGTGATGGAGTGTGTGTGTGTGTTACTGTGAGATCCACAGAGTGATGGAGTGTGTGTGTGTGAGTTACTGTGAGATCCACAAAGAGTGGTGGAGTGTGTGTGTGTGAGTTACTGTGAGGTACACACAGAGTGATGGAGTGTGTGTGTGTTACTGTGAGATCTACACAGAGTGGGGGAGTGTATGTGTGTGTGAGTTACTGTGAGATCTACACAGAGTGGTGGAGTGTGTGTCTGTGTGTGTCACTGTGAGATCCACACAGGGTCATGGAGTGTGTGTGTGTTACTGTGAGATCCACACAGAGTGGTGGAGTGTGTGAGTTACTGTGAGGTACACACAGAGTGATGGAGTGTGTGTGTGTGTGTGTTACTGTGAGATCTACACAGAGTGGGGGAGTGTATGTGTGTTACTGTGAGGTACACACAGAGTGGTGGAGTGTGTGTGTGTGTGAGTTACTATGAGGTACACACAGAGTGATGGAGTGTGTGTGTGTGGGTTACTGTGAGGTACACACAGAGTGATGGTGTGTGTGTGTGTGTTACTGAGATCTACACAGGGTGATGGAGTGTGTGTGTGTGTGTTACTGTGAGATCCACACAGGGTGATGGAGTGTGTGTGTTACTGTGAGGTACACACAGAGTGATGGAGTGTGTGTGTGTGTGTGTTACTGTGAGGTACACACAGAGTGGTGGAGTGTGTGTGTGTGTGTTACTGTGAGATCTACACAGTGATGGAGTGTGTGTGTGTAGAATCGAGGGTCGTAACTGTCCGTCGAAGTCATCACCGCGACCTGTTGTCATTCCAGTTTAGCGGGAAAGAAAAAATAGGTGAAGGTGTGTTACCTTTTTGTTCGAGGTGTTCAGAGAACACCCCGTGCTCTCAGTTCATTCGGACTTGTCAGCGAGTTGTGTTGCTCTTCATCGCTGTAGTGTTTTTACAAAATGTAATGCATACGACGTCCAATCCTCAGAAAATAACGGTCCAATGTAGAGGCGATTGTAAGAAGCAAAGATACAGCCCTACAACTGCTTTGTTTGCACCACTGCTGACAGAAGGCCTCCCCCTAGAGGGAGCTCTATTATGCCGTGGTGGAGAGATGCGAACTACCTCGCTAGGTATACAGGAGGTTATGAGTTTTATCCTGACCCCGACACCTGTATATTTGCAGTTTGCATTTTCTGCGTGTGGTTGTGTGGATTTTTCACCGGGTCTTCCGGTTTTCCCCCTCCATATTTATTATTGATAGAAATTTCCACGTGATAAACCACTTCGTTGAGCTATCATTTGTGGCCAGGTCGCTTTTGAAAACGCTCTAGAGCACAGTGGGCCTTTCCTGGTTAAATACAAAAAAATATTTTGTTTAGATTTTGAAACGACTATCCCGTGCTGGCGAGGCATCTGAGTAGAGTTGGGAGTGCCCACACTTTTTTCTGCCACATGCGACCTTCCTCTGAAATTGCCGTGGTTGTGCCGATTTATATTCCTGGGTGGCCTGAGGCAGTCGGGTTTTAAGGAACTTACCCCATTATATCAGCTTTCACGCCATGAGATCGAAC